CTGTGTAGCTGTAACATTGCTAGACACGGAACAGGTACTCAATGAGTGTTTATTCAAAGAAGCGATTAGCCAGTGGTTAACCATTGGGCATGCAGAAAGTAGGGAGGATGTGAAAGGGAAGCCAGTGTATCTTGGGATGAGGAGAAACTTTCTGCTACGTTGAGATCTTTTCAAATGGCAGCTCTGATATCATATAAGTTTTTCTGATTTTGGTGAGAAAGTAATCAGCCACCTGCTAATTCTGACCTTGGACAAGTCACTTAACTTTTAGGCTTAGCCTTCATAGCTATTAATTAAAGGGGATAATTGTCTTGTCTAATTCACAGGGTGGTTGTAAGGGTGGGATAAAATAATTTAAATAACAGTGCTTACTATAAGGTATATCAAATACAGACTGAAATAATGAAACTCCCTGTATCAGCTGATGCCTGAAATTCTCTATAGACACCCCCAGTGGAGAATCTTCTCCTAGATGGGGATGTCAATCAAATGAATTAAATCCCTTCCAATTTATACATACAATGAATGTGACCTATATATCAATTACTTAACTATTTCTGTATGTTGTATTCTAAACTTTTGAACATATAATGCCTCAGTTAAAATTCTAAAGTACAGAGTATATGTTAGATTGATAATATTATATTCTGCGTATATTATACATATGTATATATAATACTTGTTTCGTTTAATGGCAGAGGAAGACCTTAAATGAAAATCTTCGAGGTATAATTGTCTAACAAAAGAGAAAAGCCGAATGTCTCATTCCCCTTAGAATTACAAACCCTTTGCAGCTCTGTTTGCCAAGCTGCAGGAGAAAGGGTAAGGGGAGGAGGGGGGGTTTCAATTAAATGTCAGTGATGGAGGTTTTAAGGATTTCAAATTACTGGTGAGGTCCCAGACTTTTGGTGGCTCCCTGGTGATCTGAAAATCTTGCTGGCTGCAGGCAGGAGTCTGCCCAAGACTACATTTTATCTTAGCTCCTTTGGAAAAGTAAAGAAACCACAAATCCAGTGGCTGTTCAAAACAACAAAGAAGGTTTGAGGTGTCTTTGGTGTCTAACAGGAGTGTCTCTGAATTCCTTAAGGAATTCCAGGCCTAGGGTTGATCCAGCTGGCAGGAGGTATCGATCTTCACTTGAATTCACTGAATAAATAATGGTTGCCATAGTTATTGAGCAGTCACAACTGGCTGCAGAGCAGAGAAAACTCTGCAGCCTCTTCTGTGAGTTTGGCCATGAGAAAGTCTGGCTGCCAGGTACCACAATCAACCCCCTCTGGAAAGGCAATGTGATGCTCCATTTCTTCCTTCCAGTGATGAATAAAGAATCTCGATTATCGTCCATAACATGAGGCCCTGAAAGCAAAGGAAAGCTTAAATTAATGACTGGGCATTTTATTCTTAGGAAAGCTTCTCTCCGTAGCTTGTGAAGCTAATTTGATATAGCTCCGTATTAATAGAATTCAGTAACCAGCAAGGTAGTGTTTGATCATATTACAGGTACTCCAGGGCTAATCAAAGGGCAAGCTCCCATCTTCTTGTGTTTTAACATTATTATATAAAACAGCACTAACCTGGCAATTTCAAAAGAAAGAAAAAAGTGTTATCAATCATTTTATAAATATTTTGTCTCCTCTCATTCTTCTGTATTTGAGGAACAGAATCACACTTAGATACTATTTAATATTCTGCTTTTTATTCAGTACTACAAGTAGCTTTCCGTATTATCTCACAGTCTTCATATTGTCCTTTTAGATGTCTGCAGAACCTTCCATTATATGGACATACCATTATTTTCTTAATGGGTCTCCTATTCTTCATCTCTTTATCTTTCCTAGTGTTTCTTTGTTTGATTTTTGTTTCAGGGAAGTTGGTAATAGATAACACAATACCAAATGTTCTCATGCATGCAGTGTCACTTTTCCCTTTGGATAAATTCCCAAGAGTGGGATTACTTGGTCAGAGGATATAAACGTTTTATAACTCTTGAAATTTACTGCCAGATTTGCAGCCTGCTTTCATGCTTTGGGGGGTGGGGAAGAGAATAAAACTTTAGGCAGAATACCACTGCAGGCAGGATCTTTTCCTGAAGTTCACCCTTGGGTGCTTCTGAGATAGAAATACAAGAGCTATGTGTTTAGTAAAGATAAACCAAAATGGACAATGTTGGCACCTGGGTTGATTAATGAGTAGTTTTCTAGAGAAGGCAAAATCACTCACTGCATAGGGTAGAAATTATGGGATGTTTTGCCTTTGTTTGATCTCACAGTTGTTAACCACTGGTAAAATGTCATCCATTGCACTGATTATCCCAGGGTATAGCAGATGACAGAATGACAGATGGCAAAATACTGTCATATAACACTGTTTACTTGAACCTGCCTGAGGCCCTGGGTTCGATTCCTCAGCACCACATAAGCAAAAAGAAAAAAGCCGGAAGTGGCGCTGTGGCTCAAGTGCTAGAATGCTAGCCTTGAGCTGAAGAGCTGAGGGACAGCACCCAGGCCCAGAGTTCAGGCCCCACGACCAGACCCCCCCCCCAAAAAAAGAAGAATATAGCAAAGACTTGTGTATCTACCACTCTATAATCCCCATTTCTCTATTCAGATATTGACCCTTAGTAAAATAGGTCACATAGATAGTAAGTTACAGACCAGAATTCAGATTTGCCTCCAACCCAGTACCCCTTTCTCTACAGACGATTTTCTTGGTTGACTTTTTTAAATACAGTTTAGCACATCAGATATGAAAAGAGACCTGAGAGGTCATTAAATCCAACCTCATTCATTGATAAAGTCAATGAATGTATTTGACAAGGTCAAATACAATTTAGCCAACCAGACATGGCTGGCTCACACCTATAATCCTAGCTACTAAAGAGGCTGACATCTGAGGATCACAATTCAAAGCCAGCCCTGGCAGAATAGTCCCTGAGACTCTCATCTCCAATAAACCACCAGAAATCTGGAAGTGGCACTGTGGCTCAAGTGGTAGAGCGCTATCTTTGAGCTGAAGAGCTGAGAGACAGCTCCCAGGCCCAGAGTTCAAGACCCATGACCACCACCACCACCAACAATAATAATACAATTAGCCTAGCTAAGGAGAATGTTCATTTCCTGGTTCTCAGCTCTCTTTCACTTGAGACAAGGAAAGAGAAAAAAAGTATCAATAATTGCTCCCTTTTTCTGATTTCAGGTAATTACATTTTGCTTTAGGAAAACAACTTTGCTAGCAAAAATATCTCCAACTAAGAAATGAAATCTAATAGAAATTGGGAATTCATTTCACAGTAGAAGGATATCATCTATTGCTCAAGAATTGTGACTTTGGCATGATTTCCTCTCATAGACTGAGAAAGGAAAACGTTGAGAAACAGGTCAAGCTTTCCCTTCGAAAAAGAGACTTTGTGACCCACAGTCTAAAGGAGAGCAGAATGGTTTGTGTTGAATGTCTGCAAGAACAAGACACGTTTTCTTTCAAGATAGGTTTCCAGTCTCAGCTCTTAGCAACTGTAGGTTGGGAAGAATCACTCAACCTTATATACCATGAATATACCACGAATATTTTTTTTTCTTTTTCCAGGACTGAGGACTGAACCCAGGGCCTTGTGCTCACCAGGAGGGCGCCCTTCTGCTGAGCTAAACCCCTAGCCCCACAAATATTTTTTCTTTTTCTTTTTACTGTGAAAATACCGTACAGAGGGGTTACAATTACATGGGCAAGATAATGAGTACATTTCTTATCAAGCATTGTTGCCTCCTCCTTTGTTTCCCCTTCTCATCTCCCCCCTTCCCCCCCACGCCAAAGTTGTTAAGTTCGTTTTCGACATAACCACTTGTACATCTCATTGTTGCAATGGGTCCACCCGTATCCCTATTTAAACAATTTGTTTTTGCCCTTCCTCTCCACAAATTATACCAACATCAAATGCTGTGAGAGCAGGGGTTATACCATGGGGGAGGGACATACAAAGCAACAAAGAAATATCTTATAAATATGTTAGAAACAATCACATGAAAAAAAAACATTTGAATACTTACCTTGGGGTTCATTTCACCTAACATCAACTTATCTGACCGTTTCTGCTTGTCTTAGACATATACTAGTTATTGCAAATAAGGGAAACTATGGGACCTATGTTTCTTTGGGCCTGGCTTACTTCACTTAATATAATTTTTTCCAAGTCTTTCCATTTCCTAACAAATAGGGAAATATCATTCTTTCTGATGGAGGCATAGAATTCCATTGTGTATATATACCACATTTTCTTGATCCATCACGAATTTTTAAAATGAGGATGCTCTTATATATTGTCTTATACAAGTGGTATTCATGTCTTTCCACAGCATAAAAGGCCTGCACCTCCTCCTTTCCTCTGTGACTTTTCCATCTCCACAGCAGGACGACAATGTGTTTTTGTAGAGAATCAGGTGTAGGTCAATAGGTGTTTCAAGGAGAGAAACAAAACAAGGAAAAGAAAAGCTGGATTCTTCCCAATGCTGATCAGCGTGAAAACATAAGAATACACTTTGGGTGTTAGCAACTAGAGCATGCAGCCTCCCTACCTTCTTCAAGTGGAGTCTGTAAGGAGGGGTCATTAATTCACTAGCCCGGATGCGTTTCCATGTCACTCTGGATGAAAGTTGTCTAATGACAGGGCTTTTGTAAAGCTTGGCAGGATCATGTGTGCACAAGAATGTGTTCCGTGCAACTGTGTGCCAGGGACTGTTTGCCTCCCACGTGGTGTTAACCTAAGTTCAGAAACACTGACCTGGATCTGATCAGTGTCATCATCTCCTAAGGAAACTGAGGCTTACAAGGGTACACAACAAGTTAAATGGCAGGTCTGGGATTCATTCTACCTCTCAGCAGGGTGCTTTGATTATATACTGTCCTCCATTGGCAGGAAAAGACACAGACATTGATAAGGGGTTCCAAGTGTCTTTAGATCTGCCTCCTAACCGTGTCCTTTATTATTATTCTTTTTAAACCTTCTGCAGAACGACATGGGTTAAAAGAACCAAAGAGAGTGGAGGAGCTATGCAACAAGATCACAAGCAGCTTAAAAGACCACCAGAGTAAAGGACAGGCTCTGGAGCCCACCGAGCCCAAGGTTCTGCGTGTGCTGGTAGAACTGAGGAAGATCTGCACCCAGGGCCTCCAGCGCATCTTCTACCTGAAGCTGGAGGATCTGGTGTCTCCGCCTTCCGTCATTGACAAGCTCTTCCTGGATACCCTACCTTTCTAAGTGGGAAACCACTTCTTTGCAGGCACCTGGGTTAATCAATCAAGGGATGGGTCTGGACACCAACTACTTTCTATCCTTTGTTCAGAGGAAACGCAGTTCCTGTAGAAAGCAAAGACTTTTTTTTTTTTTTTGGTCCTTTCTGGCACCTTTTCTTTACAACCTAAAGCCAGAAAACTTTCAGAGTATCGTGTTGGGATTGTGTTTTATATTTAGCCTTTGGGAGGGTGGGGTGGTAAGGGGGTATAATTCATGAAGGTTTTCTAAGAAATTGCTAACAAAGCACTTTTGGACTATGCTATCCCAGCAAAGAAAAAAAAAGATAATATAAGCGTTTAAAAAAAAACTTTCTGGGGAATACAATTATGGTTGCTTTGTATTTAAAAACAAGAACAGCCAAGGGTTGTTCGCCAGGGTAGGATGTGTCTTAAGATTAATCCCTTACAAGTACATACATTTCTGTATCAAGGGTGCATATGTGGTGCAGACAAGGCAGAAATTCCCTTTCCTTAATTTCTTTCTTCCTTGATTTTATTTTAACAAATGGTGAGAGATGGAAGATTACCTACAAATCAGACAAAGCAAAACAATAATGGCTGTTCGCTTCCATATACAAGTGCAATTTTTTAAAGTGCTGTCTTATTAAGTCTTGTTTATGAACTCTCCTTTATTTTATATGGGGGAAAAAAGGAAGACATGTAAATGACATTCTGATTTTCCTAGCAAAGGCTTGGTCTACCTGCCCTGTAGAATTCTTTGTAGGTAAGGCCCATCTAATAAGATTTGAAGGCCATTCTCAATAGAATTAGATCCCTGCTGACTCTCTAGGTGTTATGAATTGAGGAATCAAGACTGTAAAGTGAATAACATACAGTGGCTTTGGTTGTATTCTATTAACCTGGACAGCATTCTCTTGCTTTAGTCATAGAAACTTACTGATGGATGCATTTATTCAGAAGTCCAAGGTATGTTTGGTGAATCATCCAATTATTTGATCTTCAGCTGAGAAAAACATGCAAATAAGTAGGAACTGGGTCATACAGGGTAAGCACCAGGGAGGTGAAAAGGATTTATATATATATATATATAATTTAATTTTTGTTGTTGACAATTTTGGAGAGCAAGCAAGTCTTCTTTAAAAAAATAGTATTAATGTGAGTACTAGACAAGATTAGTAGGCTATGTTTCAACATTCCATGTTCGTACACACTTTTGTATGTTTATACTGTTAATGCCATATTACTATGAGATAATTTGTTGCATAGTGTCCTTATTTGTAAAAACATTTGTATGCACGTTATAATGTGATAGCTTTGCCTGTATTTATTGCAAGACCACCAGCTCCTGGAAGCTGAGTTACAGAATAATCAGATGGAGTGTTCACAGTGACTTGGATACACCAGTTAGAGATTAAGCAAAAAAAAAACACAAAAACCTATATATATATATAAAATATAGCAGGTTACATATATATTTATAAATGTGTCTTTTTATTAACCATTTGTACAATAAATGTCACTTCCTGTGCCGTTATTTTATGGTTCATTTGCAGTGACTTTTAAGGCAGTACTGTTTAGCACTTTGATATTAAAACTTTTGCTTATGTTTTGCTAAATTCGAATAATGTTTGAAGATTTTTAGGTCTAAAAGTCTTTATATTATATATTCTGTATCAAGTCAAAATATCTTTGGCCATTTTGCTAAGAAACAAACTTTGAATGTCAAACTGATGTCACAGTAGTTTTTGTTAGCTTTAAATCAGTTTTGCTTTAGTCTTTTTAAAAGAAAAAAATAACAAGACTATGCTGTTTATATTGTCATTAAATTATACAATCAAACAGATGCCAAATGAATTGCCTGATTGCTGCAAAGTATAACCCAGATAACAAATCATATCCTTTTTTTGCAAGAGTCATTCTGATATTTGATCATGTATTATGTTTGTGTGAGCATTTATGCAAGATTGTTATTTTTATATCAAGATGATAGGGTCTGGAATGTTAGCATGTTGAAACATTAGACTTGGAAGGGGCCTGGCTTGTCAACAAGTTCAACTTCTTGAAATTCAGCAAGGAAAAAACTAGGGCCTGTTGAAGAGTAGACTTATTCAAGGTCAAATGGTAACAAAATCAGGACTAAGACTTAATGCACCTTTCCATCTTCCTTTTTCCTTGCTGTATCTATAAGTCAATAGGCATTTAAACATAACCACTAATATTAACATTGTACCTGAAGATAACCATGAATAAAGTAGTACTTTTGCATTAATTTTTTGAGCTTATATGCAAACATAATAAACATTATTAAATATCAGGAAAGCTAACATTTTGTACAAGATAGCTTCAGACCGAATTCAAATTGAATTTGAATAAATTAGAAGTACTGTGCATACATAACCTTCTTGTGCACCATGAGTATTTGGAAAGTTAATCCTTGTTTTTGTCATGTCTGTAAAGGAAAATTGAAGCAAAACAAAAAACATAGCCCTAGGGAAATGCTGTCTCTTGATTTTTTTTTTCTGTCATCAGACTTCAGGAGAAGGACATTTTAGCAGTCCTACCTATTGGTTTGAAGGAATGAAGAAGCTTTTTAGCTATAGGTCCAGATTCAAGTGCTGAAAATAAAATTTAGAGCCAGTTTTCTTCTGTCTTCCATAGTTATTACAACTATGTGAGCCTCCCAAGTCCTCTATCAATTAAACTCTTCCTTTTTTTTTTGTCTTAATGTTGAAACGCAAGCATATACAGAGTGGATGACTACATTAGCTCAGAAGAGGACAAGCATTAAGGCAGGTGACTCTTCCCTTTGCAGGGAGAGCTCTCTTAGTGGGAACATGCCTTCTGTGGGCAGAAATCAGGAATCCACCAGCTGTTAACAGGGAGTGCCTTGCTTTTATTTCAGACAGCAGAGTTTCCCGAGTTCCTCTGCACCTCAAACAGCATTGCTCTTTTGTGTGTGTTAACCTGTGGTTTGAAAGAAATGCTCTTGTACATTAACAATGTAAATTTAAATGACTAAATTAAATTACATTTTACCAATGGCTACTGATGTGTGGAATGAGCATGCTTCATTTAACAGTTTTCTCTTGATCATTCATATCATACGATAGGTTGTGAGCTCTTTTAAACATATCCCAACATAGATTTTTTTAAAGGCCTGGTAAGCCTGAAAAGTTAATAGGCCTTCTGAATTGGAAATAGATTAAACTTCACTGATTGGAAAGAAGGACACTCTAAATTCAATAACCATTTATCGACTATTTCCTGGGGGCATGGCACTGCAGGAGGTCTGAGGACATGCAGACGTGCAGTTTACAAAACTATTTCTCTTCCAACTGTACATGGCATAAATGGATCTAACAATGTGTAGCCTAACAATAGTCTTCAGAGACATTAAGGATTCATAGAGGATTTATTTTATTTTACTTATTCATTAAGGATATTGTTTGTTAATCAAACTTTACCAGCAACAGAGTTGTAGTTCTCCCCAAGACTAGCCAGTGTGCTTGCCTTTTTGTTTAAGGTACTTTAGCTCCACTTCTGACTTTGGGCTGGTTAACTGGAGATAAGAGTCTCACACATTTTTCTGCTGGACCACCAATCCTGAGCTCTCAGCCTCCTGAGGAGCTAGAATGATAGGCAGGACCCACCAGGGCCTGGCTTAAAGCCTCTTTCTTGTAGGGAATACAACCAAGTTTTCTTCATCACTACCCCAAACATCATATATGCTCAGTTAGTGTGGTTTCTTTGCATGTCAATGGTTCAAAAGAAGAAATGAAAGAGCTCTGGTAATTGGGTTCCTCAGTTCATGCATCAGGTATTTTGGGAGACATCTAAGAACAATGTGTGGTCAAGCAGTCAGACTCTTCTGGTTCACAACAGAATTTTATCTCAGCTATAAATATGATTGGTCAGAAAAGAAGGAGAGATACTAGATCCCAGCTAGCAATTGAATTAAAACATAGCTGGCTTGCGATTGAATTTCTATAAGTTAAATGAGATATATGACGATAAACACAAGAAGCTAGCTCAATGTTAGTTTTTCTTGTGGTAAAATACACATTATACAAAATGTATAATCTTAACCATCTTGAAGTGTGCAGCTCAATAGTGCAAAGTGCAACCTCTGGAAGTTTTCATCGTGAAAAACTGAAATTATATCCATGAAACAACAATTCCCCATTCCTCTTTCACATAGGCCCTGACAACTGGATAGATACGTTCCATCACTAGGATTTTGACTATATGATTGGTCTTTGTGGCTGGTTTATTTAACTTAGTAGGTGTCAGAATATCTTTTTTTTTAAGGCTGAATAATATAGCACTGGACATATCCACCACATTTTACCTGTTCATTCATTAATGGTTACTTGGTTTCCTTGTACCTCTTGACTACTGTGAATAATACTACAATCAACATGGGTATTTAAACATGTCTTTTCTATTCTTTTGGCTAATTGTTGACTTTTAAGTTGATGTGTGATTTAAGTACTTTCCAATACTCTTGATTATATATGGGTTGTTGTTACTGTTGTTTGCCTTAGACACTGATTTCAGAGGATCCTTATTTTCTCCTCTCAGGAGGTACCTGGATTGTTCCATGAGCAAGTATGTTGATAAACCTTTGTTCTAGGGATAGACTAAAAATCTGAAAGGACCAAAACCTAGGAGGCTTAAAACTTGTCCAAATATTTTTCTTTGAAAAGGCCCAAGCAGTTGAAAAAAAAAATTTCATCAAGTGTCAAAGGAATGCTGTATTTCTGGCAGTTTAGGAGCCTGGTTTACTCCTGTCTTACTGCAAACATGTGAATAACAATTTGATATTAACACCATTCACCAGGAATAAAGTTCTTCAAGCAATGCTTCAAGAAGTTCTTTCTCAGAGTTACCTCTAGAAATGGGTAGCATTTATGGGAAATATTTTGGTCTGTGTGTGCGTGCGTGTGTGTGCGCGTGTGTACGTGTGTGTGCGTGTATACGTGTGTGTGCTGTGTGTATGCGTGTATACGTGCGTGTGTACGTGCGTGTGTGTGCTGTGTGTGCGCGTGTGTGCGTGTGTGTGTGATGTGTGTGCGCGTGTGTATGTGTGCACGCATGTGTGTGCGTG